CAATATCAAATTCGAGCACTTCGTAAAAGAAATAAAAAACAAGTTAAACAAGTTTTTGATTGATATGTGTCGTGAAAGAAAAGTATGCGTTTACCATCATTCTTATCATCACAATACTTAAGTTTTTTAACGATTGTATCTAAAATAATATCGTATTAATTAGTTACTAGTGCATAATAAAATAATAAATACTAGATTAGTTGAGTAAAAATCCATTAAAACTTCTGTATTGTCTTTATTATCATTACTCTCAACCAAATTACTATTAAATTTTCTTTAATAAAAATACTTTTTTTATCTTGTTTCTTTCTAAAAGTTCCTTTTTTTTCTTTTTTATAAAGGTTATTAATAAGTTAAAGGCGGAAAATATAAAATATTGCATTATCAAGTCCTGAAATAATACTGACTTTTTAAACTTGTAAAATTTGACAGATTTATCATTTCACATAACGGTACTTTTATTGATAGCGCCTTGATCATTTGTGTAATATTGGGTAAATTTATGATTTTAGTTGGGTTATTTTTTGTCACATATTCACTAATTCACATACTGTATTTCAATAAATAAGATTTACATCATCATATCCCAAAATGGTCTTTTGCCTGTCATTAATTCCCACATAATCATACCAAACTATATATTTTTTTCCTTGAAAAAACCTATTGAACAGAATAAGGAATGACAGTACTTAGTATTGTTAAAATAAATTTTATATATTTTTCTTTTTATATTTATTTATAAATTAATAATTTATAAGCATACTAGGAGTAACCCGTCGCGCTGTGCCGGGAATAAAATTAGCCCATCAAGTCAAGAAAAGTAACAATGATATGGCTATATTTTAGAAATAGGCTTAGTATTTTAATAATATTATTTACAGTATGATAAGTTTAGAAGAAAATAATCTAATAAATTTATATAATTTACATATTTATACTAATAAAAGTGAATTGTGTATGAATGTTATATATAAAATATTATATATGAAATATTGTTATATAATTATATATAAAATCATATCGGCCGATAGAGGAAGTCCCTAAAATTTTGGGGGATATTTTTGCGATCAGTAAGAGGGACCGTCATATCAATTGTCAGCCAATAAATTAAACTAATGCCACTTAAATATACTTCTGGTGACCACTTTACATTTATTATATATATACTCGCATCAATACTCTAGAACTCATCTGTTATAAACAACAAATATTTTGACGGATCATAGTACTTGGGACAATGGGTTAGGAAGAGGGACAATGGGTTAGACGTGATTTACATAATAATATACTGTACATAATAAAAAAAGGGTTAGACGCGATTCTACATAAGTAAAAAGGGGCTTAAACGCATAAAAAAGGAAATTTTTTTTGAGTTTTTAGAGAATCAGATTACGTAATATTAATAGTTTAGGGAAACAATTAAGGCCCGATTTCCCCAATCAGCCGATATGTATTATATATGAAATATTGTTATATAATTTTAAATGTGAATTCTATTTATAGAATGACATATTTCACAGTATACAATGTTTCTTGTTCTCACCATTATCTATAAAAATCTTAATATGTTGATATACAGTTACTCTTGAGAATGCAACACATACTGGAAATTGACATTGATTCAAAGTAAAGTCTCATCATTTTTCACCTCATATTACTTCTCATTATTCGTCTCCCATTATTTTCTATTACATCTTTTCATTTTCCATTATTTCTTTTTCCTTCCCATCAATTTTTTTTTGTCTCTTTTTGTCTCTCATCACTTCTTTTCGTCTTCCATCACTCCTCTTCGTCTCCCATCACTTCTTTTTCATCATCCATCATGTCCTATTTTTCCTTTTTGTTTCCTACCACTTCTCATTACTCTTTTTTACTCCCTTTCTTTTTCTATTACTTTCCATTACTATATTGTTATTTAATTTTTTTTATTAGCATCTTTCTCCTTGATCATCGTAATTTACTTATCTTTTTTATTTATTGTTATTGTTTTTTATTTGTATCACTTCATTAAAAATAAATACAGTGAGTTTTTCTTTAAAATCGAAAATGTAGGACTTAAATTTAATATTTGCAAATAAAATTTCATTAAAATAAGATTATTTTGAATAAATATGTTTGCATAAAATTTTTTCAAAAATATCTTCGCTTTAAGTTTAACCGATCAAAAATTTTACGTTACTTACTTAGCCAATTTCCGTTACTTACTTGCTACCGATTTTATAGTTAGGTTATTAGCTTACGTTACTATAAAATACCAACCTATATGTTTGCCGATCAAATAAATGGCCTTGACTAATCAGGCACTGAATCATGCGGTACACAATTCAAAGATTATTTATACAGGCTACAGTCAAACCTCGATGTACCGATATTCTATATACCGATAAATGGTCTATACCGATAAATTTCAATTATCCCATTTCATAATTAATAAAAAAACCTTGTTGTACCGATATTATATATAGTTTCGCGATGTAACATGTAACGATACTCTTTCTTTGTCCCTTTATAGTAACGTATAATAAAGATGTACCGATAATTTAGGTTACACTGGTTTTAATTTGGGCTGGTTTGGCCCGAGTTAAAAAAATTGTAAACTTATAATTCGAGCGTCTGGCAAAATCATATTTTTTTGGTTTTTCGGAATTAAGCATAGTGCGAGCCAGAATTAGATTTTGGCCCGCATTATAATCTACAGATAATATATATGTACCGATATTTCAATGTACAGATACTTTTTCCCTGTCCCGACAGTATCGGTATATCGAAGTTTGACTGTAATCTAAACGTTAGAAAATCGATATGTATTTTTTTTATTATTTAAAGTACACCCCATTCAACCGATCGATAAAGGTTCTAACCTTACATTTCATGTCTCAAGTGTCTAGGTTATATCCTTCGTGGTCCGCCCATGGTTTTAACCCATGTCCGTGATATACTTTGACTTGTCATGCTGTGTCATAGAAACAAATCATGCTAATTAATTTAATCCAACAATATATTATTATACTCACTTATAGTCATATACGGACATTTATGTCCATGATATTTGTTGATGATGCTCCTTGTCAGATATGGC